GAAGTTACATGGAAAGACATATGTTATTCCAACTTTTAGTAAGGCTTCAGTAGTCAAGAATCTGCCAAAAGAGGATCAGAAATCATCATACAAAGTGCCTCTCAGCTCTCAGGTTTCTGTTATTTCTTCTAGTCTGACTAATGAGAAGGATTTTAAAAAAAATGCATAAATTATATGAATTCTGAAGATATGACAGTTTGTATAAAAGAGTTTGAAAAGGCATTATTTTCTAGCATTCAATCAAATTTGGAAATCATAGGATACTATAATAGTTTACGCAGTCAGATTGAATGATAACTATTTGAAAATAAGAGGATGACCTTTTGCTTTAATTTTTTCTAAAGTATTATTAGTTCTCTTATATAAATCTAAGATATCTTTAGAGGATTTAGTAAGCGAAATAGAATCAAAAGTACAAACAGTCTTGATTCTTGATTTCCTTCCTCCAGTCTTTTTTATCTTACTATCTGAAATAACATCCTCTTCTGAAGTTAGATTATTAGATTTGTTAATTTTAGTATTGTGTATCTTGTTTTCCAGTGCTGTGAATGCAGAATCAAATTTATTTTGAATTTCTCTTTCAGCTTGGCGCTTTTCATTCTGTTTATCTATAATATTCATATTTGGGATGACTGCTAAATCATTCTATTAAATCCTATTAAACTCTTGTCTTCTCAAAATTTGATATAAGTGACTATTCAATATATTATATTTTTTATTTAGCTGAACTAAAGGTTTAGACTTCATATCACAGTATTGCATAATGTCTTTATAATCTGCGAGAGACAAGTAACTAGCCCTGGAACTAATATGTATTTTAAGCTGAAATGTAATCATATTAGTAGTTAATTGCTAGAGATTTTTTTTTCATTATAAATAAATGTACAAAAATATCAGTAATACTAGTATTATGCTAGTATCAATAATACGGTATTATCAGTAGTGTTAGTAGTATCGATAGTATATTAGTATCAGTAACATAGTAGTATCAGTAGTATCAGTAGTATTAGTAATAATAGTATTAGTAGTATGATAGTATCGATAATATTGTAATAATGGTAGTATTAGTAATATGCTAGTATCAGTAGTATTCATAAAAAATAAAGTATTTTCAGGATCGCTTATAATTTTTTAGTATACTAATAACTAGGCTGAAAAAAATTATGTCTAATATGCATACTTTAAAAGATATTGAAGATAAAGAGGCTGTTAAAGGTTTACTAAATAAACAAATTCCTCCAGGTCATCGGCTTGGTAGCATTCGTGAATTAGAACTTGAGAAAGCATTATGCAGTAGCATCGAAACTGCTTCTGATATTGCTAATGATTATAAAGACCTGCAGGATATATATTTAAAGCGAATGAAGAATTTTAATCGTATCTGTTCAGGTTTTAACAATAAGTTTAATCAACTAAATACAACTATTAGTGAGCTTGAAGTTAAATATACTACTGAAATTAAATCTCTTAAATCTTCTATTAAAACACTAAAAAGAGAGCTAACTTTAACTCAAAAAGTTTCGTTCGCTGACAAGGTCAGGATTCTCTCTCTTGAAGTTAAAGTACGAGAATTGAAAGGTAAGCTGAATGACTTAGAACTAGAACAGGTGTTCCATGATTCTCTTAAGCTTGAATTGAAGCGAGCGAATGAGGATCTTAGTTCAAAAGAATATACAATAGAATGTATGGAAAAAGGAATAGAGTCATCAGATAATATATACAAACAGGAGCTGGATATTCAAACTTCAGAATGATTAAAATTGATGGAGGAGAATAGGTCCCTTAGAGATCAGTTAGTATTAAAGAAAGAGCTAAAAGACACTTCACATAATGAAGTAAATCCTCCACCTTCACATAAACAATTCATCACAAAAGCTATCAGGTTGGATTAGTGACGATTTAAGACCCCTTATCTATGAGTGTGGTTTTAAAGATAAAGTTATGGAACTTGATAAAAGTTTTGTTAGAGAAAATATATTAGAGGTTTTGCAAAAGCTATTACCCCAGAATGAGACGAGAAACCAGACAGATATCCTATTCAATCAATCCATTTATAGTCGACCAGCACATTCTGAAAAGTATATTTTGAGTGAAAGGGTTGTGAAGTAATTAGGTAGTGCAAAAGTGGTACCATTATCTCAAATAATATCTCTAATACTAGTGATAAAGGATTGGCGATCCTGGCTTAATCTGTAAGGTGCGAGTCCCTATTGTAGGTTACATTGTGATAGTCACAGGTTCAGACCTCAGCTGAGGCATAAAACTAGATGATTTTTATAAGAATTTCATATGTAACTGAACACGTGAGCATTTAGACTAATAAATGTTAGATACTGGTTGATCGATCTGTCGATTGACGTTAATCATGCCTAAATACTGAGTTTGAAGAACATGTGGATGCAAATGAAACCAGGGATCGACAGAAACTTGGTCTTCGCTGACAGGTCTATAATGGATACTGTCTCACGTCTTCAAATTCAGGGGCCCTTACACAAGTAAGGAAGTGATTAACCAGTAATTAGTAGATTTGGGTTCACCGCAAGGGGGCAAAAGTGCCTAAGGTAATAATAGACTGCATTGCACGCCACAGTACCTTCCAAATCGAATCATCACTAGAGTTAGAGGCTGGGTTCAATTCCCAGGTGAATTTGACGCTATGGGTATAAAACCACCATCTATGTAAAGGACCCGATCCTACAGTCTCAGTAGTCATCAATAGGATAAAATCCTATAAATTAGATTGGTAAAAATAGGGCCTAACAAGCTCTATGGTTGAAGTGAGCCTTCTATCCAAAGGTGATGGTACCTAATAAGGTCTAGTGAGCTTTGTGACATGGGAATAACTTGTTACAAGATGGTCTATACTAGATGGCAACCATACGGGAATGTGCTTCTAAGCGGGTTGCTGTACTCCTTAATTGGGATCAGAGACTTTAAAAGGTTACTTAACGCGGGATCAAACTTGTTCTACTTAGAATATGCCCTCTACTAACTCTCTAGCTAGCGTACATTAATAGTAAAAAAAAAAAAAAAAAAAAAATTTGCCAGAATATCCTTAAAAACTCTTTCCCACTCCCCTCAAAATACTATTAGAAAAGTAACTCAAAAAAAATTTAATAACAACCCAAAAGTTACTTGTAATATTCGCAGTCGACCTGACTCGCTCATTGACGATAAGTCTTCAGAATCCCACAAAAGAAAGCTATTACTATTCTAAATAGTCCTGGTTCAACTGAAACTATAAATACTGAAAACTCAAACATCACTTTTGGTTCAAAAGAAAATATGAAAGTCGACCCTCTCTAGTCACCTCAACCGATAACATCACTGAGATTATCGCCTTCAAAAATAAAAGTGTCATGGAAGAAGACTAAGCTCACGATCCCTCTAAAAATTTACTCAGAAAAAATAACTCTTCTCCCAACATACTCTCTTTTGATCGCATTTACGATGCTTCTTCGTCTACATTTGCTGCGTCGCAGAAACTTTCCTTCCCAGAAAATCAAATAAAGAAAAAATCAACTGTGCTTGTGAGATGTTCAATGGCATAGAATTTCCATCGTTTATTAGTACAGCAGTCAAGTAAAACCCTGCCAACAAAACACTAAAAATTGTCTGATTTTGTTTTTCCACGAGTTTAGATATAGACAAAGCATTCCATGCTAAGTTTCCTGATATGGCAGATTTAAAATTAAAATTCCTTGATCGCCTTACCCAATTTAGATTTAATCCAGAACTAGCGATCAAGGTAATTGAGATCCCTATATCAACATCCAAGCACATAATCAGATTAACATTCGCCAAATATAGGAATATTCTAAGATATTTCATGATAATCAAAAATCTATGGTAACAAGCTACCATTTCCTATGCTGAAGGCACTGATTTGATCATATTCAATAACATTAAAGGATAATTTATTCTTAAAGATCTTGTTCGTATACACCCTTGTGCAGTCACTATTGATAAAATTAAACTTTGATCTAAATTTACTCTCAAACTTACTAATTTACTCAAAGATACTTCTGGTCGAGAATTAGAATTCATTGCTAAAGCGGTCAATGCAATAACTTAGGTAATTCCTAAAGCCCATTCAAACTATCGAAATCTCCAATATACTTTCGTTCACTTTGAATCTGAACAAGACCTATTTGCTGTGGTAAATAGAGATCAAATAGTTTTAGATGACAAGAGATTTATATGGACTCAACCAGACACAAAATTATGTGCACATTGTGCTGCGTCTAGACATGATTCTCGTTTATACTGAAAGAAATGTGCTGCACCTCAAGATTATCAAACACAAAATCTATATCAAAGATTTAAACTAGCCTAATTTAAGAACTACTCTGTTCTTTCTAAACCAGTCAGATCCATTTTCGTTAAAGATACTGAATACGTATTTGATCCAAAAAACCCCCAATAATTTGCAAATAGAACCCATCCTATAAAACCCCTAGCTAACAAATTCCCAGTTGTCCCTATACACTTAAAACCTCCAGTTCATTATACCAACTCTTGTAACTCCTCATTAAATGATTCAATTCACACCAATAAATCCTGATCAGACCAAGTTGAAGATAACTACTTATTACCAAATCAGCAGTTAGACAATCAGACTGGATGGAACCATCTGATGCTAAAAAAATCATGCTTACTTAGCTAAAAACCCCATTTTTTTGATATGCTTTTATAATACCTTTGTAATATTTTTGTAATATTAACATTGTTTTGTAAAGCTTGAAATTGTTTTTATATATATTGTAATCATTTATGAGTACTATGACACAATGAATATTAAGAATATTGCAAATTATATATTTAAAATAATTTAAATAATAAATCGTAATAATTTTGCAATAGTTACATTATTAATAATAAAATCGAATTAAGATAATAAATTGAAACAATATTTGCAATGGTTACATTTTTGAATTGTTACATTTTGCATGATTACTGAAGCATATCACAGCAAAACTAACTATACTGTGAAATTGAATTTACAAGGTTACATAACTACGAATATCTATATCTTGTGCTAATGTCGTTCCACTCTTAGAAACAATATGTATATCAACTGTAATACGATCAAGAGCATGCAAATCAACTAGCATTGCATTTCGCCATCCTGCTCGTTGGACCTTTGTAGCATTATTATAAATCGCATGGTCAACATTTTTACGCATAAAGAAACAGATCATGTTTAATGTGACTTCAACAATATATTCTTTTAGAGAATTCCAAGACGATTTGTTTTTGAGCAAATGATCCCTTTTAACTTACTTTAATTGTGGCTCAAAAATATTGGTGATATCATCTGTACTCACAAAATTTCGAAGGTAAGATGAATTTAGAAGATTGTTCAAGGATACACTGTATAATTATATAATCACGGTTAATAATATGTATTCAAAAAAAAAATTGAAAGAATATAATAAAGTAATATTTACCTATAACCATCTAAGAAATCAAGTGCAATTTAGGTACATCTATCATACAATCGTACTCTTCATGTTGAGAACCATCCGCAACCTTTCTTCTTCGCATCACTAGCATTAATATCAGCAATTCTGAGATGTCTTGCACATTCTCTAGCTAGTGCTAAGATCAGTTCCAGTGTTGGCTTACGAATACAGAGAAAAAGAACCTTTGATTCATTAATGAATAAAGATATAAGTCGAGTCTTAAAGAATATATAATTGGAGAAATATTTTATTAATTGTAATGTTATTTTCATATTCAGCAAGTAAAATACCTTAATATTTGAAATACTTACATTATTCGGAGATGTGTTATTATGGATTTGATTAGTGGGTGCATTATTATTTATTATAGCTGAAGTAGTCGTATTGCCAGAAGCCATAATAGATTGCGGATGCATATATGATGTATATCCCGTATTTGATAAAAGTGTACCTGATTTTATCGCTTAAATAAATGCAGTAAACATTAGTGCTAAATTATTAAATCGATGCAATCGATAGATGTTGTAGATGCTATGTTTTGTTCATCCGTAGAAGAGATCGATCGTGGTGCAATGTGTGCCATAGATGCCATGTTTTGTTCATCTGTAGAAGAGACCAATCGTGGTGCAGTGTATACCATAGATGCTGTGTTTTGTTTATCCATAGAAGAGACCGATCGTGTTGTAATATTATTGGTGTTATCAATCGATTCCAATTCATAAACATTGACGAATAATGGCTTTACTTGAGATATAGAGGTTTTACGTAAAGGTAATTCCCGGTCATGTTCTTTAGTGGATTCTATAAAGTTCTGTTATGTCAATTTATATTATTATTTGCAAAACCCACCTAAACTAATGTTATTATACTTTTTCCATCATTCAGCTTTACATATTTATTTGGCGAGATCA